AAATGGACATCCTGCGCCAGGCCCATTCCCGGCAGGCCTGCAACAACTATTATCCATAAAATGAGGTACCCTGTTTTCTTCATAAACGATCACTGAATCATTAACGTCAACTGGCTATCAGCGAACCAGTGTTACATCCCCTTTTAATACAACCGGCGACCCGTCCGGGCAAATGGCTTCCACCACATATACAAATACATCCGGGGGAAGTTCTTTACCATGAAAAAGCCCGTCCCATCCACGTTCCGGTACATTAACAGGTAGATCGCTGGCGGCAAATACAACTTCTCCCCAACGGTTATATACCATAAACCGGTTCACCTTATTCACCCCTAATCCCTGCGGATAGAAATAATCATTCTGCCCATCGTTATTAGGGGTAAACGTATTGGCCAGGTAAAAAGCATTACCGTCACAACCAACAATGATCCGGATCGTATCCCGGGCTTTACAACCGATGGAATCCGAGACTTCAGCAATGTAAATGATGCTCTTATCAAGGGTTGCCACTGGCTGGAAACAATCAGTGCAGCTAAGTCCCGTAGGTGGCCACCAGGTAATTGTCTGCGCATTGGCGACCGTAGTTGTCAGTGGCACCATAGCACCCGGAATCCCCGAAAATCCGTTCATAATATTTATTGTCGGCAATGGCATTACCACCACTGTTTGTTGCAACGTATCTTTAAAACAACGGTTCTCCGTGATGATCACCTGGTAGGTAGTTGTCTTCGTGGGCCGGGTAACCGGGTTTGGTAAAAAGGGGCCATCCATATTATCCACAGGAGTCCATTCATAATAAATGCCACCAGTGGCCCCCAGCATAACTTCTTCCCCAAGGCATATCCTCCGGGTACTGTCCACAGTTACAGGCATCCGTTGTAACACATGCACCGTAACGAGTCCGGTGTCTTTACAGCCATTCACATCGGTACCAATAACGTAATAAACGGTTGTTGTATCCGGCGTAACTATTGTGGACGGGCAGTTAATACAGGAGAGTGTGGGAGAAGACGCATACCACTGATAGGTCAGCGCGCCGCCGGCGTTCAGGGTAGTACTTTCACCCTCACAGATCTCTACCTCATTACCGGCTGTCACCACAGGCCCCGGAAAGTCTGTGACCGCAATCGTATCCCGGGCAATACAACCCACCGAATCCTGCACCGTAATAATATACGTACCCTGCCCGATGCGGTCCAGGACAGGCGTGCTGCGCACGGGATTGGTGTTCCAGGAATAACGGATGGTACCCACGCCACCGAGTACCAGGGCACGGACTTCACTATTCAGTTCACCGGGGCAGGAGCGCTTTATCAATTGGGTGCTTACAGTAAACGGATTGGATTCATTGATCGTGCTGGAAATTGTTTTTACACAACGGTTGGCATCTATAACCGTACAGGTATAAGTTCCTGCGGGCAGGCCAAATGCGGTATCGTTTGATTGCGGCGGCACCGTATTCCAGCTATAGTTATAAGGAGCTACGCCGCCTGCCGCTCTTACCCAGGCCATGCCCGCACCCACGCCCGCACAGCGGATATCGGTAGATGATACCGTGACTGTCATTGGCGATGGCTGGCTGATAATGATCGTCTTTGTAGCCATACAATTCGTCACATCTCTGACGGTTACCGTGTACACGCCGGGACCAAGGTTTTGTATCGAGGACGCTGTTTGCTGCGGACTGGTATTCCAGCTATAACTATAAGGCGGCACGCCACCAATAACACCCACCGTTATCGACCCATTGTTGCCACCGTTACAACTAACATCGGTATGTGTCTCGGTGAGTGAAAGGGGAGCTACCACAGCAACCGTATCCGTTACGGTACAGCCAATCGCATCTGTTACCGAAACCGTATAAGCGGTATTGACCGTTGGCGAGGCCATCGGGTTAGGGCAGAAGATACAGTTCAGGCCGGCGGCCGGTGCCCAGCTATAGGTATAAGGCGAGGCACTGCCCGTTTGCGTAGCATTCAGCTGCACCTGGCTGGCATGGCATAAGTTGGCACTGTCTGGTGTGGCATTTACGGTCAATGCAGAAAACAAAACCTGTGTGGTCAGCGTATCGGTACAGCCATAACCGGGGTAAGGCGTCAGTATCACATGATAGTCCGTTGTAGTGGCAGGTGTGGGGATATGAATGGTTTGCCCGGTACCTAATACCGCTGTATAGCTGGCATTGTACCAGGTATAATCCTGGAAGCCGGGCGGTGCAACGAGTGGGGTTGTAGCTGCGGAATTACAATTGGCGCTGGTGATCTTAAACAAGCCGCAGGATACATCTACATAACCATAACCGAAATGTGCACCCTGCCCACAGTCGGCAGTGGTAAATTCCACCCGTACTGTTCGCCCGGCAAGTCCGGCCAATTTCAGCGAAGCC